ACACACACACACACACTCCCTCACCCCACAACCCCCGCCACACCTATACCCACCCCCTCAATACCCCCACCACTCACAGTATACAAGAGTAAGACTTCATTTTATGCTATTATATACACTCAGTTTTATATACACTACACAAACACAGGTAAACCAGGACAAAAATATTTTTTAAAATCAAATTAATGAATGTTTTAGATGTTCGCTTTTTAGAATCTAATTTTGTATTTTTTCTGGTTCCAAGATGGCCACACCCCTTGCTGAAAGGAGTACTTCCGGGGGCAAAGGGAGGGGGCTTCTGGTGGCAAAGGCTGGGGTTAGTGGGTGGGACTTCCAGTCCCAAGATGGTAACTAGGGGGCAGAGCACCTGTCAAGGGGCAGGGCTACCCATGCAGCCCTTGACAGCTTGCCAAAACTCATTAAGCGGCCCTCCACCCAAAATAACTACCCGCCCCTAGACTAGAGACAGAGTACTGGCTTCTATTTACTACCTACTCTAGAGGTGGCCAACTTGTAGCACACATGCCACAAGTGGCACGGGCACCTTGTTTTACACATGGCAGATAGGGGAGGGGACAGGAAGCACAACAGATAGCACAGGGAATAGAAAGCAGAGCAGCAGATTGGGTAGGGGAGGGGGATCAGAGGGGCACTCTGGCAAGCATGTCAGAAATTAGTCATCTCCAAGATTGGCCCCCCACTAAGCTACTTTAACAGCAAATGCCACTCCTTTGGTGAAAATCCTAACTGCACCACTACTAAAGTAATTTAGCATAATTGCAACTGTTTCCAGGTGGATGACTGGTGTATTTTTATGGGGTAGAAAACTCAGAGAATGACTGGTATGTCAGGTGAGATTAGGATCATTTCTTTACAAAAGCAGAAGTGTTCAGTATTTACTTGCAAGAAAGAACATTGCAGTAGCATATATGCAACTACTGTTGGAGGAGTTGAGCGCTTACACTATGTGAAAACTTGAAGAACATGAAGGCCTGGTCCAAAGATTAAAGCACAATTGTCTAAGACAATAGCGCAGTCAGTTGGTTATCATCTATGAACTATGCAACTGCTAATGAGCCACTGGAAAGGGCAATGTGGTGACAATATCAGGAAAGGAAAGAGGTCAGGGGCAGACAAACAAATGGGGGGGAGGGGGGGAGGAATCAGACACCACTCACACACATTACATCTGGGGTGCATAATACACAGATGCAACATTAAAAAGGGACTTTGCCCTTGAGTAGGTAGAGATAAGCCAACTAGTATTAAAGATGAAAAAGACTGTAGACCATAACATACAATTCCCCTTCTTCAGTGACTAACGCTGATGCTGCAAACAGAGACTGCCAGCCTGCTTTCTCATCATGCACTTGCAAAAATAATATGGGAACTATATGCTAGGGGCATGTGTAGGTGAAATGGGAGGCCTAAATTGAAGCAGTGGGTTTTTAAAAACTCCGCTTCAATTTAGGGCCCTTTAACCCCCCATGTCATCCACACACCCAACCTTCCCTGCCTCTCCAGCAGCGGGGAGGGGAGGGCGAGCTGCCGGTGGGCAGAATGGTCCCTGGGCTGCAGGGGGGAGGGGGTATAGTGCTTCCCGCAGCAGCAGCCCCCTGCCAGGCGGCACCCACCCACAGGCACCCAGCTCGGGCAGTCCCAGGGGGCACTGTAGCCACAGAGGGAAGCACTGGGCCCCAGCACAGCTCAGGCAGACAGGCAGGCTCCAGGGAAAAAAGGCAGAGCCTGCCTTCCCAGGCTGCTGTCAGGCTGCCTGCAGAGCTCCTGAGAGGCACAGAGCCTGGTGCTTCGCTATAGGGCAAACTAAAACTCCTCCTCAGAGTTTTAGTTTGCTGCACCTGAAGTCATTTAAAGTGCATTACGCCGCCAAATCTGCTACAGCTGGAATTACTGCGCAACACACCGCCAACGCGTGCAAACACCAACACCATTAAAGTGGTGGAAAAGCATTTAACCCACTTTAAAGTGTCATGCACACATGCTCCTTGTTTTGTCTACATATGGCCTAGGGCACTTACGTGAAAGGCCTGTAGCCGCAGAGGAAGCTGGTGCTGAAGAACTAGCTATGGAAGCAAACAGTGTCGGCCCAGATGAACCAAGGAGGGAAGCCGTGGTGGTAGTGGTGGTGGCAATAGGGGCTGTGGATGTTGCAGTCAAGCCTGGAAATAGAAAATAACCACAGATCCTTCTCTGGGACCCCAAAACACAGTAAACACAGATAATAGATCTATTCTTTGATAATTTTTCCCCTATTCATCTGCACCACTCCCTACTTTGTTGAGGCAGAAGGCTCCTCCACTATGGGTCCTGCCTTCCCCAAGAGCTTTCCATTCTTTGAATTCAATTTTCCATCTTAGCAAATGCAGCTCCTCAATTTCTCACCTCCTTCTCTTTTATATTTCCCAAGAATTGTAGAATGCAGTTTTGTATAGAAAATTAAATAAGAGGGACTTGGAGAATTTTCACTGCCTTCGTTTATATGTACAAATTCACAGGAATAAAGTACAATATATTCACCCTCCCCCTTCTCTAATTTATCTTCCTCAGGCTATTTCAAGAATGAGAATTACTTCAAAGAGAATATTAAGGCCCCATCACTATGAACCACCTTTCAGGTACCATAAATTTATCACTTCTTACCTCCAGGTTTGGCTCCAAAAGATAGAGTGGGTCCCTGGCTAGTAGTAGGAACCAGTGCTCCTGTGGGTGCAGAAGTGGCTGGTGTTGATGTTGGCATTCCAAAATTTAAACCTGGATTAAGAAATATTGTAAATACAATGAAAGAAGAACAAACATGTGGTTCAAGAAGAGACACTGACATACCTATAGCTGCAGGAAAAGATTAAACAACAGTCAATTAGCATAACTGAAAACCACTCTCATCAGGTTAACACTGTGTTCTTTTTAATGAAACTAGATCCTGCACTGTCAGCAGACTAACTAGATCCAACAAGGACCTTCAGGCTATGAAAAAGTAGGATTTACTATAAAAGACTCCACCTGAAACCCACTCCCCACTACCCAAGGGAATAGATTTCTTCCCCTTAGCTCCCCAAAAAGCCAGTGTAATTTTCCACTAATATTTCAGAATCAGACCTTTTGCTGCAACTTTTTCCCCTGTCCAAGGTTCTGAAACAACGTAAAGCCTTCAAGACTCTAGCACAGAGTTTGCTGAAGGATTAATAACTTCGGGTGTGTTTACATGTGTTACAGGAGTTGGAGAGGCGGGGGCTTTAATTAGAGTGGCTCCAAGAACATTAGATAAATGAGCTTTAGATAAAGTGCCCCTAGTGCCATTTTGAAGTATAGGGATGCAGATATACAACATATGGAGGCTGGCTGGAGTGCAGCAATTACCACGCTCCAGCAGTCTCAATTAATTGAGTCTACTCTGACACGCTGTAATTATAGCACATTGCAGTAGTCTCTGGGCTCGTGTACAGGCACCCTTAAAGTCTTTCACCCACCTACAGATTATCTTTCTAAAAAAAACAGAGTTTAGAAACATAACAAATTTCAAATCTATTACTTCCACTCAAAAAGGGGCAGAATTATTTCAGCCCCCAAGATCCAGATCCAGATGTTAAGACAGGGGTGGGCAAAATACGGCCCATGGGCTGCATGTGGCCCGCCAGACCATTCTATCCAGCCTGTGTGGCACCTAAAGTTTAGAAAATTAATATTTATCTGCTACTGGCTGCTGTCAAAGATGACAGATGCCAGGGGCAGGACCCACTGGAAGCTGGCAGGAGTTAGGAGAAAGGCCAGCCCGACACCACCCTACCCGTAGCCCCCTCTCACCCCTGCCCCCCACTCGGAAGCCTCTGCCTGCAGCCGCTTTCCCTGCAGACAGCTGCTCCAGCACCACGTGCCCCCAGCTACATCGCATCGCTGGACCACGCCAGTACCCTGGGGCCTGGAGCAGAAGGGATATATATGTCCATGCAATATATGAGAGAGAGAGAGATTCAGGGTGGGAAAAGCACGCACAGTGTGTGTGTGCACGCGCACGCATGTGCATGCATATGCTATAAGGGAGAGGGAGAGTGTGTTTGTTTGTAGGGTGATTCCCACAAGCACACCCCACCATACACATGCACCCACACCCCCTCTTGAACTGCAATACATGCAGACCCTCACACACCCCCACAAATCCCATAACACTCACACCCCACATATCCACACACACACACTCACATGCTTCCTCACCCCACATACACACCTAGCCACCTCCCACACAGTATACAAGAGTAAGACTTCATTTAAAGCTATTATATACACTCACCTCTAAGTACACTACACAAATGCATGTGTTTGTCCACTAAGATGTGGGGCGAGGTGGACACACTTGAAGGGAGAGAGAGGCTGCAACTATATTTAGACAGACTACAAAAGTGGGCAGATGAGAACAGGATGGGGTTCAACATAGACAAATGCAGGGTGCTGCACCTTGCGAGAAGGAATCCACAGCATACATACAGGCTGGGGAGTTCCCTTCTTGAAAGCACAGAGGTGGAAAGGGATCTCGGAGTCATTATTGACTCCAAGCTGAACATGAGCCG